ACAATTTATCGCAGTTTTTCTTATATAAAGTGTTCATTTTTCTTAGCTCATTTGCAAATTTCTTATTCAGTTTCCCCCTAGGAATTTGCATGCTATTTGCTGTTGCATATTGAACCTTTTTCTATTGGAATTTCTTTCTTTGTTTCTTTGTTTCTCTCTCTCTCCTCTCTCTCTCTCTCTCCCTCCTTCCTTCCCTCCCTCCCTCTTCCTTCCTCTCTCCCTCCCCTTCCTTCCTTCCTTCTTTCCTTCCTTCCTTCCTTCCTTCCTTCCTTCCTTCCTTCCTTCCTTCCTTCCTTCCTTCCTTCCTTCCTTCCTTCCTTCCTTCTTTCCTTCTTTGCTATGTACCATTAGTGACTTTTCTGTATTCATGGCATAGATAGCTACAATTTTATATTCTTCTATTAATTCTGATTTTTCTTTGGCTTGTTATATTTGCAAGGAGGACAATCATATTATCTGCAAATAATCTTTTTTTCCGCCTTTCTTCTAGAACTAATAATGCTTCTTTTTACCCCACTATTGGGCTTCTGTTACTGTGTTAAGTGTCCAATACAGTGTGAAAGTGTCAAAGTATGAGCAGGCATTCAAGTCTTGTTCCCAGCCCTAGTGAGAATGTCTATAGTTTAGAATTTCTAGATTTCAGTCCCAACCATCGTTTTATGAGATGCTATTGGTAACAGAATGTTGAGGTTCCTACTAAGTTTGTATGTAGCAGGGTGGGCGACGTTCCTAAATAGTTTTGTGAAATTGCATTAACCAAATGAAACATTTCTTCAGTGTGTGAGCTTTCATAAAATAGTACATTGACAATCTCTTAGAGCTGTAGTGTAGTGACTTTTTCCAACCTATTAGTCTACAGAATATGTATGTGCATCAAACATTTTAATTTCAGGCAACCCAGTGCTGTACATCTTATCATCTTATTTTCTTCTTTATTTTCCTCACCACTAATGATAAGTCATGTGTTCATGTTTACTTGTTATTTGAATTTCCACTTTATGTAGTAATTGAGTCTTGTACCCAGTTTGGGCTTTCTTTCATTATGTACTTGTAGAGATTTATTATATGACTGGTAACTTAATCCTTTATAAGAAGCTACCCTTCACCTGAACTGCTTTTTCATTCTCTTAATTAATGTTTTGAGAAGAACTGAGTATAGTTCCTCTTATCAATTGTTTCCCTTAACGCTGGTACTTTTTAAGAATTTTTTTTCTACTATGAAGTTATGAATATCTTATACTTTCTTCTTAAAGTATTCCACCTTGTCTTTCAGGTTTCCAATTTGCCTTGAATTGTGGATAAATGAGAAGCTAGATTTATTTTTTTTGCTATGAGATTATCCAATTCTTTCAGTTCTGTTTTTTTTAAACCGATGGATTTTTTTCCTTCCATTATTCTGCTTGGTATCTCTATCACAAATTATCTAGGCTCCTTATTATGTCTGCTTGAATCTATTTTCCTTCCTTGTTCCTGTACCAGCTAATTCCTCCTCTGAATGGCTGGATTAGCTTTCTTGACCTTTTGCATCACCATATAAATGTTAGACTAATCTATAGAGGAAAGCTGTGCTATTTAGGTATTTAGATTGAGGCTACTGAAATCTACATATGAATTGAGAATTTACACCTTTATATTATTCAGTGTTCTCTACATGTTACATCTCTTTAAGTACTTATCTTTCTAAATGTTTCTCAATACATTTTGTTATTTTCTTCACATATTACATATCTTTTATTGGAGTTGGTCCTCATATTTTATATTGTATACTTATAAACTATATCATCAAATTTTATTATTGCTAGCATATTTGAATGCAGTCAATTTGCATCCTGATTTGTATCTAGAAATCCTGCTGACTCTAATAGAAGTTATATCAAATTATAGATGAATTTTTAACACATCATGTCATCTGTAGATTTTTAAAGTTCATTTTAATATTTTTAAATTACTTTAAGTAGTACAAAAGAGTGGCTATTTAACAAAGCATTTTGTGAATGCAGTATATTTTGATGTGTCACCCTTTTAACGTTCTCATCCATCCCTCCTCCCCTGTACACCTTCCCTCACCCATCTTCGTATTGTAGGATATATATTGGATTATTTACTGCATTCTCTTCCTCTTCTCCTCTTTGTCTATAGATATTTCTATTTCTTCTATTTCAATCCTTATGTCTTTTTTATCCCCCAGGGTCTCAGTACAGTACTGCATAATAGGAACTACTGTTTTATTCCCAGTTTCAAAGGAACAATTTAGGACATGATTAGGTTAATGTTTGCTTATAGAAACTCTGCTTTGAGCCAGGCATGAGCAGCTCACGACAGTAATCCTAGCTACTCTGGAGGCTGAGATCTGAGGGTTGTGGTTTGAATTCACCTCACGGAGGAAAGTCAATGGAATTCTTATTGCCAGTTAACTACCAAAAAGCTGGAGTGGAGTGGGCTTAAGTGGTAGAGTGCCAGCTTTGAGTACAAAAGCTAAGGGACAGCAGGCTTTGAGTTCAGGCCCCAGTATTAGCAGAAAAGAAAAAGAAATTTTGCTGTGCAACATGTTATCCAATTAAGAAAATACCGGTCACCATTCCTTAACTAATAGTTTCTAACCATTATTCAAGGGTTAATTTTACAGGATTCTTGTACTTCCTCCATTGAGGTAAGAGCAAGTGAATCCTGCAAATTATATCAATTTATGTTTCTCCCTAATTTTTTTTTTTTGGTCGGTTGTGGGGCTTGCACTCTGAGCTTCTGGGCTTAGGCACTATCCCTGATCTCTTCAGTTCAAGGCAAGCGCTCTACCAGTTTTCTAGTGGTTAATTGGAGATAAGAGTCTCACAGACTTTTCTACCCGGGCTGGCTTTGAACCATGATCCTCAGATCTCAGCTTCCCGAGTAGCTAGGATTACAGGCGTGAGCCACTAGCACCCGGCTCTCCCTAATTTTTTATATTTGTCACTTGTGGTCCTTGAACTTGGAATCTGGGTACTGTCTCTAAGCTCCTTTTTACTCAAGGCTAGGGTTCTACCACTGAGCCACAGTATCACTTCCAGTTTTCTGGTGGTTAATTGGAGATAAGAGTCTCACAGACTTTCCTGCCTGGACTGACTGAAGCATAATCCTCAAACCTCAACCTCCTAAGTAGCTAGGAGTACAGGCATGAACCACTAGCACCCAGCACCCCAACTTTTTATTTTAAAAAATTTCAGATGAATTTCATTGATCACCATTTGTGCTTGAAATACATCCAGAAATAAATTACAAATGTTCAGATTTAAGTGTCTGACAAGCTTTTTCTCACAGTGAGTAAAATGAACCTGTCATTTCAAGGAAATAATAGGCACAATTGTTTTTCCTATGAAAAAGTTGAACTCTCGAGTTAAAATTAGAACTTTAGAAAACCTGTTTGTTATCTTCAGCTTGCCATTTAAAAACATTTGAAAATGCCATCTATGTTATGTTTAGAGGAATTGATAGCTGCTCTAAAGCTTTCTAATTTCAAATTTTTAATGTGTTAAATATCAACATATATCTAGGTCATATACACAAAGGTTACTTGGAGTCCTCCGTAATTTTAAAGATGTTAGTTGAATGAGACCTGAATGAGACTAGACAGTTGAGAACTCTACCCAAGGTTAATGGAAATGCCCTAGGCTTATCAGAGTATAATGGTATTTAATAAATTTCCCTCTTCCCATGAAAATGTGTCTTAGAATAAGATACTATAGTTCCTAAATTACATACCCCTTATTGTATTTTTAATTCTACAGCTTCTCTATAATAGGTTTAGATTGGGGAGGGAGGGTTATTTTTATTTATTTTGCCTGTCAGTGAGCCTTTTGAGTTCTCATGCTCTCATAACTTCTGAAATTTTTTCTGGTGTTCTATCTATCCCTTATGTCTTTCCTCTTTTTCTAGGATTTCAAATTAATGTATTGCAAGTCTTCTCACCGTGCTTTACCAGTTTGTTACCTTACTTTTTTTAATTGCATGCTTTGATTTGAAGTCTTGCTTCTAGAGTCTACTGCATGAATCCTTTCTTTAGCTTTATCCAATTTGCCGTGAAAGCTAGTCATTGAATTGTTCATTTTTATCAGTACTTATCAATTCCAGAACTTCTAAGTGTATCTTCACATCTGCTCCATCATTTTTTGTAACTATTAATGCTTTGCCAAGGTTTTCACCTGGCTCTCATATCCTTGAACAATGCGAACTGTGTTGTCTGTGACCTCTAATATTATATATGCATTTCTACTATGACTATTTTATTCATCGATTTTCTGCAATGGTGTTTTTTAGTCTCTTCATACATTTGGGGATATTGTGTATATTAGACATTATACTTGGACATTTAGATGTAACAGTATTTCTAGGCCTTTAAGGATATTTTTTTTCTTCTACAGATGATTGTTCTTTGCCAGTGACAGTTGTCTAAGAATCATTAGAAATTCAGAGCTACATAATATAACTTACAAAATTGAGAGTTTCAGAAACAACCAGCTGACATGAAGTAGATCTTGTAAGACTGGCTTATTTCTCTTTCTGACTTAATTTTAGAATACATCTGAGAATTCTAGAATCTTAGTTCACAGTGGATGTTTATTTATATTGGCATCTGGATGAGACTTTGATCTTCTTGCCTCAAGAGAATTAGAGTTCAGCTCTTTCTGCCAGAGATGCAAATTGTCTTTGGGCCACAATAGCAATTCTTGTTGTCAGTAAGTTGCAGACTTAACCAAGTTGGTTTGCCTTGTCTTCTTGCTAGGAATCTTGATGGTTTTACATATATGGTTTTGTACTTGTCCAGCTCTTTGAGTTATCTCCCATGGGACAGTTGGTCTGAACAGAAGTACTCCTGATGAGACTTTTATTTACTTTGTTAACGCATGAAATTGAGCACTTTATTTTTTGCACTTCAAAACTAGTACCAAGAATTTATACCACAGTTTTTCTTCTGAAGCCTGTCTCAGATGGAACCACAAGTCTTGAGTTAACTCAAGAATATATAAGTGCTCGCTTCAGCAACACATATACTAACATTGGAACGATATAGAGAAGATTAACATGGCCCCTGCAAAAGGATGACATGAAAATTCTTGAAGTGTTCCATATTTTTCACATAGAGCTCCCCTATGACCCAGAAATCCCACTTTTGGGCATTTACTCAAACAATCACAAACAAGGCCATACTAAAGCTACCAGCACAACTATGTTTATCGCAGCATTATTTACCATAGCTAAGATATGGAACCAACCCAGATGCCCCTCAGTAGATGAATGGATCAAGAAAATGTGGTATATATACACAATGGAATTCTATGCCTCCATCAGAAAGAATGACATTGCCCCATTTGTTAGGAAATGGAAAGACTTGGAAAAAAATTATACTTATTTGCAATAACCAGTATAAGTCTAGGACAAGCAGAAAAGGTAAAAAGTTAAGTATATATGACCATATAAGATGATGTTAAGTGAAATAAACCCCAAGATAAGGACACAGTAGTTTTTTTTCTTTCTTGCTTTTGTTTCTAACGTATCTATAAGGTACCATGTGATTTTTTTGTTGCTTTGTATGTTCCTCCCCCATGGTATGACCTCTGTTTTCACTGTATTTGATGTCAGTATAATTTGGGGAGGGAAAGGGAAAAAACAAAATGTGTAAATAGGGATGCAGGTGGACCCATTGTAACAATGAGATGTACAAGACGCTTTTGAACAGCGAACTTTACAATTTAGGTGGGGAATGTAGTTGTGGAAGTGGGAGGGAAGGGATGGTAAGGGAAAAACAAAGGAGGAGGCAACAAAAAAAAGAAATATATTCATTACCTTGCTCATGTAACTGTAACCCCTCTGAACAGTATTTTCACAATAAAAAAAACATGAAAAAAGGAAAAAAATCACATATTAGATTATAGGTAAATTAAAAGAACAGCAACAAAGATCAAACCTCTTGTGTCCCTATGGCTTAGCATCATCTTATATGGTCATATGTACATAGCTTTTGACCTTTTCTGCTTGTCTTAGACATATACTAGTTATTGCAGGGAAAGCTTCAAACATTTTCAATATAATTTGCCATGTACTTCTTCCCTGGATCAGGCTGGTTATCTTCTTTCTTATGCTAGGTTTGTGCTACTGCACATTCTTAAAAAGAATATGTAATTTTCCATTAGTTATCATGTATCTATGATTTCTAAATCCCAACTGGGCATTATTGATAATTTCATTCATTCATTCATTCATTCATTTAGAGTTAGTATAGGGTTTGAATTCAAAGCCTAGCAATTGCTTGCCTGATACTCTACCACTTGAGCCATGCCACTAACCTAGTTGATTTTTGCTTGTTACTTTAGTGACCTTCTAACTACAGTCTTCTAGATCTTACTCTTTTATTTTTTCTTTTGTCAGTCATGGGGCTTGAACTCTGGGCCTGGGCACTGTCCCTCAGCTCTTCAGCTCAAGGCTAGCACTCTACCACTTGAGCCACAGTGCACTTCCAGTTTTCTGAGTGATTTATTAGAGATGAGAGTCTCATGGCCTTTCCTACCTGGGCAGGAGTAGCTAGTATTGATTAGATGTGAGTCACCAGCACCTGGCTAGATCTTACTATTTTGAGTAGATCTTTTTCCTTAACTCCTTTGCTCAAAATATTCTTTCTTCAAAGTCTTTTCTTCTTCTGAAGCTTATTAGTCTTACTTCTTATTACCCTACTTCTCTATAATTAACCCTTACTTGCTTAACAGAAATAAAACAGACCCAAGTAAATTCTAGACAAAACAAATGAAAACTCTAATGTTATATTAACATTGACATCATGAGAAATAAAATCTCTCAGGCTTAGTACTACCAGTGTCTACTCCATTTGCTCTTTAAAATGATTGACTCATAACAGATGATTCCACCTTTAACTGCTGCTTGTCAGTCTCCCTGTTATTTATAGAGTGACTAGAAGCATTTCTTCCCCATACACCTTCTCCATCTAGTGGCCAAGAGACCTTTTTCCCCATCATTTTGATCAATTATTGCTGATTTCTCTATGACAGTGCTCCTTGAATCCAAATACATATAGGAAGTATGTAGAACTTTAAAAGAAAATACCAACAGCCAGGAGCCCATACTCAAGTTGCCTAGGTCATTTGGCCTGAGATGGAGTCAAATCATTATGAGTCATGGCTTGTGTCCCAGTCATTACAAAGTACAGCCTGTTGATAGTCATGACCCTAGATGAATGTCATATTATGACACTACCACCATACCAGGTATCAGTTTCCTTCCTTATGTGATGTACTTGGACTGTATGTTAGCCACAGGTTCTGGTGTGATCTTTCTAAAAGGAGAGGGAAATAAAATGTAAATTGTTCAGGTAAATTATTCATAAAACTAGTCAACCTTTAGTATTTCCCACTGGGATAGTAGATTACGAATTATTTCCCTTATTCTAGTCTTCAATGGAAAACTCCTTTTGGTTTAAGAAAATGTGGAGTTTTTGTTGTTTGTTTTTTTGATTGTTTATCTGTTTGTTTTTTGCCTCCCTATCTGGAGAGAGCCTTCATTACACAAACCTCTGTCATTAGACAGACTCATTCCCTTGAGAAACTTCCAAATAAAAAGTCACATCATCTATAGCAACTGCAAAGCATAGCTTTATGTTGCCTGTTGTAGAATTATTTCTTGACATTAACATTTTTATGCACCCCCATATTAAATTTTATGCTTGGATATAATGTCACCAGGTAGAAACCAAAGTAAATGCCATTTCCCGAATCCACAGAGAGTCAGAACCAAACAATGGGTTATCAAATCTTGATTTTTATGTCACTGCTACTCATGGGGTATGATTTATACATGCCACTTTTGAAAGCTGCATTAACTGGAGGATGTTGGTTTGTGGAGAGGCAAAGTCCATTGGCAGGCTGGTGTGGGTAAGCTGGGCCGATTTCTTTCTAGAACAATCCTCAGAAATCTTTGCTTACAGGTAGAAAGTGACTGAAAGTGACTCTGAAAATGACTCTGTGTAGATGAAAACAGCTTGCTTAATCATTCCTGAAACACAGGAAAAATTAAAATACTTTTTTTTTCTTTGTCATGCAATAAAAACAATGCCATATTGTTAATGCCTCTTTTGTACCTTTCACTTGAAAGACCTCAAAAGAACATCAAGGAGAATAAAGCAAAATCTATTCCCCAATGGTGTCATTATACATGTTGAAGCCTCTAAAACTAAAACTCTGAAGACATTCAGGAAGAGTGAGGAGTAAATGGCAGCAACTGAAGAGTGGGTCTCTGGAGCTTTGTTCAATGTGCTTTGTTCAAATTCATTCAAATTGGATGATGAGAAACAAAGATCTCATTTGTTCCAACATTAAAGTAGTAAATTAGTGCGTGGTGAGTTCTTAATTGTCCTGGAAGGCACATGGGTGTTCTGTATCCCACTTCTCAAATTGTGCTTTTACAGTGGAAATGGAAGTATCCATTAGGATAGTGCAAAACAATGTTTTTAATAATTTAGGCTAACTTGAGTCATACAATCTTTTGTTCTGAAGTATTTATCAAAGTTCTTGGTTTTATTTAAGGTGAACAAAGTTTTTGTTTCTTTGTTAAGATTTCATGACATGGATGGAAATTCATTTTCGGAATAGGGCTTTAAGAGTAAGATTAAACTATCCACTCTTGATCCATCCCTGGTTAGTAGCAGGTTTGGCTAATTTTTCCTTGCATTTTTCATGACCTTTTCTAATCCTGACTGTTTCATAATTTAATGTCTTGACCTTCGTTTTCTACAGAGCCACCTTAGTGATAAATGCAAAGATTTAATAACTAGAACTAGTTGACAGGTGACCTTTCATTTATAGTAATTTCTTTTGCTAAGGAAACCAACTGTTTGGGAGATTTTATTTCACAGATTTTAATTGTCTGTTTAATTGTCTACAAGCTTATTCAGAGAGAAAAATAAAGGTTAAATATTTCATTCTTCTTACTGATTAAAGTGTACAGTGGTTGGCAATTGTCCCAATGTATTATTCAAAAATTATAGTGCATCAAGTTCACATCCAAGAAAAGAAGGAATTTTCCCAGAATGGCTGGAAAGAAACAAGGTAAAAACTGGGTTAGTACAGTGAGTTGGCATACCAAACAGGTGAAGGTAATAGGATACGAGATATGTCTATGTGCACACTGTTAATTTTAGCCAACCTTTCTTTCTTTCCCTACTTCCTTCCTTCCTTCCTTCCTTCCTTCCTTCCTTCCTGCCTACCTTCTTTTCTTCCTTTCTCTCTCCTTCTCTTTACTTCTTTTCTCCCTCCCTCTTACCTTCTCTCCTTCTCCTCTTCTCTCTCCTTCCTTCCAAGAAAGAGTCAATTGGTAATATCAAGATAGGTAAAATGACTTCTGAAGACTATATATATATAATGCATTGGTTAAACACAAGAAAATGAAGCTGACACATTATAAAAATGGCACAGAGCATTTCTACCCTTCCCCTCACTCATATAATCAAGAATACAGAACCTTCTTAAGAATCAGTTTCCTCCTGCATATATTTTTAATGTGTTTTTTAAAAGTAATTCATTTTTATATTTGTTAAATGCTCCTCTGCATGATGTAAAGTGACCTGTAGTATGAGCAGAGTATCCAGCCCTAGATCTTTGTAAGTACAGAGCACAGAGTGAGCTATGAGTTACAGGATATTTAGACCACCTCCAGCTACCATGACTTCCCATGGATTTCAAAGAACCAGTGTGGTTTTCTAAAGCAAGTGTAGCTCAAGGAGGTTTTTGTGCAAGGAGAGCTTTTACTCTATCTGTGAGACCAAGTTCCAAACCAATATCATCTGCCATGCTCTTGTTTTCAATCCCAGACATTTATGGTAATTATTTATTGTTTGAAAGAGAAAAAAAACATCTCACTACTTGTTTTTTTAAAAAAAGTCTGAAAAGCAAATTGAGAAAGCAAATGTGAAAGAACATTTTAAACATAATACAGTTGGTCACAATTAGTTTATCTCAGAATGAAATTTCAGCCACATTAGAAATGAAAAATATTAAGAGAAAAAAATTCACATAATTTCTTACAGCATGCCAGAATTTTGCATATGATGCCTTTATCATATACAAATTC